ATTTTTTAACACATATTTCCGTATTTACATGCCTTTTTTAGAAAATACGCAAATTTCTTAATTTTTCGTGTGTATTAGCCAATAGATTTGGCGCCTCAGAGAACCAACAAAAAAAATTCTAAAAAACTTTACGAGGACCTCCGTAATGAGTTTGGGAACCACCATGTATACTCACAACATTTTTAACATCTATTTCTAGGTTTACAAACCCTTTTTTCGAATTACGCAAATTTCCCAATTTTTCCGTGTGTATTAGAAGATGGATCTAGCGCCTCGCATAACCCAAAAAATTTTACTAAAAAAACTTTGTGAGAATATCTGTAATAAGTTGGGAATTACCACATCTACTTGCACCATTTTTTTAACACCTATTTTCGCATTTATATGTTTTTTTTTAAATACGCAAATTCTTTAATTTTTCATGTGTCTTAGCGCATGAATCTGATGCCTCGGAACACCTATTTCCACATTTACATGTATTTTTAGGAATTACGCAAATTTCTCGATCTTTCATGTGTATTAGTTATATACTATGAGTTTACGATTTTTTTATGCATTAAACTTGAAGTTTTGCATGAGTCTTAGGCATTTTGATATTAGATGTGATGGTATTTTGATCTTATTTTGTAGGAAATAGATTTTGAATCACCAATTTATATCGAGTCAATATCATCAATTTATATTGAGTCACTATCATTCTCTTTAAATAACCGTCATTAGAAAAAATCTCAAATTTATATTGAATAAATATTATCATTTACTAGAAAAGCTTGTTGAATTATGCCGCATTTGTTGACATGCTTCAAGCTATGAAAATTTCCTACGCATTTTCCTCATAAAATATTTTTCGTAAAATTTCCACACTTACGAATCTTAAATCCATCTTTATATATTAAAGTAGATATCTTAGTGATGAGCAACTCATATCAGGAACACGCCTAATCATTTCCACTTCCTATACCAAACATGTAACAATACAAGATTTTCCAACTTAATTTCTACATAAATAATTTTCAAAAAATTGTTTGATACGAACAATTTAACGATAAATTAGTGATGAAAATTTAATAGTGATGTTAAGTCCAGATGTAGCTCAAAAACTATAAACTAGTTATTGGGCAACGATGAACACTTGAAGAGAGATCGAAATGTTAGATGAGAAACCCATCTAACATTTTTACTCCCTTCTCCTTTGTTTTCCAGACATGTAACGGTGTCCACCAATTAAATTTGGTGGACACCTGACTATATGTCTGGTATTCAATAAATTACACACATATATACGTAAACTATTTAAAACAAACATGTTGCAATAATTTTTTGAAACAAGCAAGCAATATGCATCGTCAATATAAATAACGATGAGATGAACGGCATGAAAAGTTATTTATATTGACGATATATAAAACTTAAACTCATATCGTAACAAGAGAAAGAAATAAATTGGGAGAGATTTAAGAGTGAAGCTAACAAATGGAATTATCAGCTTGGTGTGTATGTTAATGATGAAATTGGGCGGCGGAAATATAAATATAAATAAACTGAGATTAGGGTTTCAAATTGGAGTTTATTTGGGCTTGGAAGTTTCAATACTGTAAGGCCCATATTATTTTAGATGTTTGTGATATTAATGAAAATATATGGACTACTAAAATACTCATAAGTTATTAAGATGTGTGGTAGAGAATATCTTGTTACATAATAGTGATATTGGTCGTGTTTTAATTTATGTGACACTTTTTATTTTTGAGATATAAACTATGTGAGCTTTGACTAATATTTTTATGGCATAATACATAAATGTGTCTTTTAATTGGGTGGGGTTCAACTGACATTCATGTTCTCTGACTTTGAGTGTAATTAAATTTGTATAAAATTGAACAAATAGACACATGTGTCCTACGTGGCGTCCAACATGACAATTTTGTGTCCTATGTGGTGTTCGTATATTATTACATAATTATGCAATGTAAGAACATGATGCATAAATTGATCAAAGTTTGTCCGCCTTTATTTAATATTCAAATCTAGTTTATTACAAGTTTGAGAAATTCTTCAATATTCTTGTCTGAACTTCCTCCTTCATCTACTGCTTCCTTAGCCAATTTTTTCCATTTATTTGCATTCTCTTTAAGCATTATACCTTTCTCTTCCCTCATGACTTCCCTTATGGAACTCGCGATTTCGTCTCTATTCACTACACCATTTTCTCCAGCCTTAACGCGAACTCCTGTTTGCCATACATCACTAATAAATTTCGCGTTAGTTGGTTGATCAGACCATTGGGGCATGGCCACCATTGGCACTCCCAAACTCAATGCCTCTAGAGTCGAATTCCATCCACAATGAGTAAAGAAACATCCAACTGCTTGATGTGACAACACGTCGAGTTGAGGGCACCAATTCACTATTAGACATTTCTTTTTCGACTTGGACATGAATTCCTCTGTAAGTTTGTTCTCTTCAGTAGCTCTAACAACCCACAAGAAGTTGAAATCACTCATCATCAATCCTGAAGCTAGTTCTTCCATTTGTTGTTCGCCAAGATTGGCTAAACTTCCGAATGATACATAAACAACAGAGCCAATTTCCCTCGAGTCTAGCCACTTCATACAAGTTTCACTGTTAGGTTTGAAGAGACTCAAACCGTATTCTTTGTCATCTTTCAGTCGCTTGTCAAGATACATTGATGGAATAATTGGACCGATGGTTTTGATTCGACATTGTGTCCTTAGCCAGTCGATCACCTGTACAAAAATTCAGCAACAGAAACCTCATATTAGTTACTAAGTATAACACTATGTAAGGATGTGTCATTTTATTTCCATTATTTATATCACTCTTTTTTTTAGTCCGTCACAGAAAGAATTAGAAACTTCTAATTTATTCTTGATACATTGCTCTTCTAGTCAGAGAATGTCATAACATAATTAAAACCTACAACTTCATAGATTATTATTTATGTATCAAGTAAGTTTTTACCCTTTGATAAGGGTTGAGTTCTATCAGAGTCGTAAAAGGGTAGCTTAGTGCACTAAGCTCTCACAATACACGAGAGAAGGACTAGGTCATAAGGTCTATTGTAGGTAGCCTTATCCTGCATTTCTATAAATAAAAGTCTACACGATGACCGAGGGGATTTGAACCCTCAACTAAGAGGGTAATATAGCTTAACAAGCCCCTCTTTTGCCACTAGATCAACATCACACTATATATGGTTTTGCAACTCGCATTTTCGAATTTCTCAATACAAATACAGGATCTGCCCAAATATTACCACAGAATTCCTACCCAACCCCATGAATCCACCCTTGTCCACAACTCAAACCCGTAATCTCCTGATCACATAACAATAATTTTACCAATCACGCCAAAACACAATTTACTAACAACAAAATATGAATAAAACCCAAAACACAATAAATAGTGAAAGATAGGGGTGGGGGTGGGGATTACCTCCTTCTCCAACACATCAAATGAGTTGAACAAAAGCCAATCTGCTTTCTTGAAATTGATATTCCTGCTGAACACAAGTTTCCTAAGAGATGGATACAAATCACTTTGACACACAAAAGAAGGCAAATCTTGTTTTTGCAACAATGGAAGTGAAGGCAAACACACACTATCATCAAAAACACAAACTTTATTTTTTTCTGGATCCATATGATAATATACAACACTAAGAGCACAAGATTGTGTAAAAAAAGCAGCCCCTTTTAACCCTAATTCATGTGTCAAATCAATTGCCCATGTTGTTATCGAATCGAAAACAAGAACCTTCACAGGATACTCAGAATCAGACAATTCCTCAACAATTTTTGTCAAATTTTTTGACACCAAAACATGAAACCATTCAAGAAAAAGATCATAACTTTGTGGTGGGGTTTCATCATTATGTGGAATAGAGTGAATCTTGATTGAACCAGATTCTAATATTGGCATAGATTTGGTAACAGAGTCTATGGTGATTAAGGTCACTTTAACTGATTCTTTTGCTGTTAATCTTTTGGAAAATTGAACCATTGGGTTTATGTGACCTTGTACTGGGAATGGAAGAACTAAAACATGAGATTTGTTGTTTTTTTCTTCCATTTTTTGCACTAATTTTACTCTTTGTAACTTGTAAGTTTATCAATCTCAAGAAAATAAGACCTAAAGTTAGTTTTTCATTTGGATAAGAATGAGGGGAAAACACACCCTAGTCTTAAGAGGGGAGTTTGACCAAGGATAGTCAAACATTTATATTCTGCCGTTTTAAAAAGAATGTCCTTCTTTTTAATATTTTTTTAATTTTGAATTTTCTCGATAGGCTTAAGATTGTAAATTAAAATATATTTTATTTTACATATCTCTATCACATTTCAAGATATTGTATTTATTATTTTTAAAAAGTGATATAGTAAAATTATCCTTCTATTTATACCTTTTTAGGAAGTGTGCATTATCAATACTGAACAAGTATTGTTGAAATCCGACAAACAAATTGAAACGTTGTTACTCTTTTTTATTCTTCAAACCTATTATGAAAACTATTTTCTTGACTTAAGAGTCTTTCAGGAACAATCCTTTTATTTAGGATAAGATCTGAATACATCCTACACTATTTCGATCATATTTATTGATCACACTATATGTTATTGTTCCTGGTTGGATGCTATAATGAAATATTGCTATACATAACATATAGTAGAATACAACATATAAAATCGATTTCAAAAAAACTTGTTCTTTAAAGTGAATGTTTTTATAGAGCATGATTCTCATAGAGAAATCTGTCTGTAATTAGTGATAGATTATAACTTTTTGGTAAATATTAAACTTTCAAATCATTTAATATTTACGTAAATGATATTAATATGTGATGGTCATGAATTTTTGGTCCCGCTTAATATTTGCTTAAAAAACTGTAGCCTCCGCTTCGGTGGAAAAAGGAAAAGAAAAAGAAAAAGTCTAGTGGCTTTAAATAAAATGCCACATCAATATTCTGAATAACAAGTTCATACCTTTTATTACGATACATTATGAAACAACATGAAACAATAATTAAATTAGAAATTCTGAAGCATTGGTAAAGCAAATGTTTTATGAATATGTTACTCAATTTAGTGCATTACAAGTTTGAAAGAAATTCTTCAATATTCTTATCAGAACTCCCTCCTTCATCTACTGCTTCTTTAGCTAATTTTTTCCATTTCATTGCATTCTCTTTAAGCATTATACCTTTCTCTTCCTCCATGACTTCCCTTATGGAACTCGCGATTTCGTCTCTATTAACTACACCATTTTCTCCAACCTTAACGCGAACTCCTGTTTGCCATACATCACTAATAAATTTCGCGTTAGTTGGTTGATCCGACCATTGAGGCATAGTCACCATTGGCACTCCCAAACTCAATGCTTCCAGAGTCGAATTCCATCCAGAATGAGTAAAGAAACATCCAATTGCTCGATGAGCCAATACATCAAGCTGAGGGCACCAATTCACCATTAGTCCTTTCTCCGATAACTTGGACATGAATTCCTCAGGGAGTTTATTCTCTTCTGTAGCTCTAACAACCCACAAGAAGTAACATTTGCTCATTATCAATCCCAAAGCTAGCTCCTCCATTTGTTGTTCGTCAAGGCTGGCTAAACTTCCAAATGATACATACACAACAGAGCCAATTTCCTTTGAATCTAGCCACTTCATACAAGTTTCACTATTAGGCTTGAAGAGACTCAAACCATATTCTTTGTCATCCTTTAGTCTCTTATCAAGATACATCGATGGAATAGTTGGTCCGATAGTTTTGATTGGGTATCGAGGCCTTATCCAATCGACTACCTGTACAAATTCATGGTTTGATTTAGATCGATTTTCCTCTAGAAAGAAATGAAATCACTTAAGTCTATTTTTTAAATATTAGAACCAAACAAATTAGGGATCCGACACCTCTTCATTTCCTTCTCTCCATTTTTCCCAAGTTCTTGTTTAGATATGAGACACATGGCATAGCTAAAAATTAATGACTAAGATTTAATTGATTAAAATAAGATTCTAATTATGTTTTAGATAATTAATATTTCATAAGAAAAATAATAATAACATAATCATAAGTCATAACAATATAATATCCTGTCCATAAATATATTATAAAAACTTTTCTCTTTTCTATTTTTTTTTCCTACAAGTATTTATCTTCCGTTTTTTTAAAAAAAAAAATTGAGTAAGTGTTAGATAGCAACTTTGAATTTTCTCTTTAAAACTAGTTAACATATAATTAATAGCAAAAATAATTGCATGGAAAAAAATTAGAAAAAGAGAAATTGTTTTATAAGTAATATATTTATGGACAAAAAGAGAAGATAATACTAGAAAGAAAAAGATTAGAAAAAGGGAATTTTTTTAATAATATATTTATGGACAAGATAATATATTGTTATGATTGTGGTATTGTCATTTTTCTTATGAAATATGAATTATCTAAATTATAATTAGAATTTTATTTTAATTCAATTAAATCTTAATCGTTAATTTTTACCTATGTCATGTGTCTCACATTCAAGCAAGAGCTTTGGGAAAATGAAGGGAAGAGAAATAGAGAGGAGTTCGATCTACAAATTAGGTATAGTCACATGGTAAAAAAGAAAATAGATCTAGATCTGCTCCTCTACTTTGGACTATTTAGTTGGTTGATCCGACCATTGAGGCATAGTCACCATTGGCACTCCCAAACTCAATGCTTCCAGAGTCGAATTCCATCCAGAATGAGTAAAGAAACATCCAATTGCTCGATGAGCCAATACATCAAGCTGAGGGCACCAATTCACCATTAGTCCTTTCTCCGATAACTTGGACATGAATTCCTCAGGGAGTTTATTCTCTTCTGTAGCTCTAACAACCCACAAGAAGTAACATTTGCTCATTATCAATCCCAAAGCTAGCTCCTCCATTTGTTGTTCGTCAAGGCTGGCTAAACTTCCAAATGATACATACACAACAGAGCCAATTTCCTTTGAATCTAGCCACTTCATACAAGTTTCACTATTAGGCTTGAAGAGACTCAAACCATATTCTTTGTCATCCTTTAGTCTCTTATCAAGATACATCGATGGAATAGTTGGTCCGATAGTTTTGATTGGGTATCGAGGCCTTATCCAATCGACTACCTGTACAAATTCATGGTTTGATTTAGATCGATTTTCCTCTAGAAAGAAATGAAATCACTTAAGTCTATTTTTTAAATATTAGAACCAAACAAATTAGGGATCCGACACCTCTTCATTTCCTTCTCTCCATTTTTCCCAAGTTCTTGTTTAGATATGAGACACATGGCATAGCTAAAAATTAATGACTAAGATTTAATTGATTAAAATAAGATTCTAATTATGTTTTAGATAATTAATATTTCATAAGAAAAATAATAATAACATAATCATAAGTCATAACAATATAATATCCTGTCCATAAATATATTATAAAAACTTTTCTCTTTTCTATTTTTTTTTCCTACAAGTATTTATCTTCCGTTTTTTTAAAAAAAAAAATTGAGTAAGTGTTAGATAGCAACTTTGAATTTTCTCTTTAAAACTAGTTAACATATAATTAATAGCAAAAATAATTGCATGGAAAAAAATTAGAAAAAGAGAAATTGTTTTATAAGTAATATATTTATGGACAAAAAGAGAAGATAATACTAGAAAGAAAAAGATTAGAAAAGGGAATTTTTTAATAATATATTTATGGACAAGATAATATATTGTTATGATTGTGGTATTGTCATTTTTCTTATGAAATATGAATTATCTAAATTATAATTAGAATTTTATTTTAATTCAATTAAATCTTAATCGTTAATTTTTACCTATGTCATGTGTCTCACATTCAAGCAAGAGCTTTGGGAAAATGAAGGGAAGAGAAATAGAGAGGAGTTCGATCTACAAATTAGGTATAGTCACATGGTAAAAAAGAAAATAGATCTAGATCTGCTCCTCTACTTTGGACTATTCTATGTTGTATGGAGCATAGTATTGACCAATTGTGAACTCTCACGTACAGTGATAAGATTAAGAATGAAGATATACATGACAAGGTAGGTGTAGCCTCCGTGATAGACAAGATGAGGGAAGTCAAACTAAGATGGTTTGGACATGATAATATCTACGTAGATTTGTTGAGAATATAAGTATATAAATAATAAAAGTGTGTTTTCTCTAATAACTTAAGTTTTTAGATGAGATGGCCACACGTTTTAACACGGTATCAGAGCAGACAAAAAGCCTGAGATCGAATCTCATCACCACCCAAATCAAAATTGAATTTCCACGTGCTTGGCCTCACACACTTTAACAAGATTCTACCCTTCTCAAACCTCATCTATGAGATTTGAGCTCTACTAGCACAAGTATATGAATGGAGTGGACCTAAAGGATTACATTAAGATAAGAGAATAGTTACCTCCTTTTCCAATGCATTAAATGTGTTGAAGAAAAGCCAATCTGCTTTCTTGAAATTGATGTTCTGACTAAAGATAAGTCCTCTAAGAGTTGGATACAAATCAGTATCATAGATGATAGAAGGCAAATCTTCCTTTGCTAGCAATGGAAGTGAAGGCAAAGAGACATCAGAGCCATCCAAAGAAACTTTGGTAGTCTCTAAATCCATATGATAGTAAATGGCACTAAGAGAACAAGATTGTGTGAAAAAAGCAGCCCCTTTTAGTCCTAATTGATGTGCAAGATCAATTGCCCAAGTTGCCATCGAATCGAAAACAAGAACTTTCACAGGGTACTCTGGATCAGATAATTTCTCAACAATTTTTGTCAAATTTTTTGATACCAAAAGATGAAACCATTCAAGCATTGGGTCAATATTTTGTGGTGGAGACTCATCATCATGAGGAATGGACTCAATATTGATTAAACCAGACTCCTTTGGCATGTTCTTGCTAATAGAGTAAATGGTAACTAATGTCACTTTATTAACTCCTTTTGATGCCAATCTTTTGGAAAATTGAACCATTGGATTTATGTGGCCTTGTACTGGGATTGGGAGAACTAAAATATGAGATTTGTTGGATTTTTCTTCCATTTTCTGCACTATACAAGAACCTGACTTAAAGTTACTGCTATCTATATAAAGGGCTGGGCAAGAATATATATATATGGTCTTAAATTGGTCTATTTTTTTATTCAATAGTCAATATTAATTATTGAGCATGTGTAAGGATATGTGGCTTTCCATGAACTATATAGAGGTGGTTGCGTAGCCCCCCCTTTATAGATATTACAATTCAAAAATCGGGTGAGATGACACCTATTTTATCCTATCAAGACAGGTCAGCCTAAACCCAATGAAACAAGATTAAATGCGGAAGTAAAATAGACTAGCATAATATAAATCTGCAGAAACAATAACATAACTCAAAATACCCCCAAGAACTGGTGTCACTTGTACAAGCCTTTAAGTAATACTTTAGATTCAAAAGGAATACAAGTCTAAATGTTTTTGTGTCTAGAACAGAACAAAAATATAACGAAAGAGTAAGATGTCAGTTGAAGTTGTAAAAATATGACATTTGGACCTAACTCAACCCCAAAAGTTAGCTCTTGAGGGGAGGATTGTCCAAGTCCATATAAAGAGACCACCAGTCCATTCCCGACATTAATGTTTTCATGAAGTAACATACATTCATCTTAATGCATTAAATGAATTACAAATTTAGATTAACTTTACACGTTGGAATATACACAAGCCCTAAATTTCAATAACCAAAACCCCTCATTTCTTGATTGCATTAATACTTAGAAATAAGTCAAATAACTACAATCCCCAAATTCTAATAACCTAAACCCCCTGATTTCTTTGCTTCATTAATAGAACATTTTCTAATAACTACAACCTACTAAATTTTAATAACCACATTTCAGGGCTACATATTTCTCAATTATTGCATACCCAATGGTAGTTACATATACATTTATGGTGGTTATTGCATACATATTTTTATTTTCTTCCTGAAATGTTTCTTAAGCTTAATTAACACATTTAATATTTTTTCAATTTTTTTTTGTACGTCTTATATTATATATTTGTTATTTTTTTAGTTCTGGTTTTATGAAACTTATACCCTTTCATTTATTTATTATTATTATTTTCTTTTATTTGCTTTAAATATCCACATTTATATCTCATATCTAATTACCTATTCAATTGCTACCATTAATATATATATCTATATCTATAACTCTAGTACTTCTCACAACCTCTAAATATTTAATTTAAGATTTTAAGATAACTTTTGGTGTTCCTCCAATTTTATTTATATAAATCAATCTTTTTTGTTTCATGAGATCCTTAGGTATCCTTTTCATTCTATAGTTAAAGTAATGAAACATTTATATCATTTTTGTGCCTTTGTTCTATTGATTCATTCTTTAGTTTGACTCAACAAAGAAGGATCTTGAATTTTGATTGGCTGTGATAGAAGGAGTTGACAAAAAATCAAAAAATTGTGTACTATTTCTATATTTCTGTTTACATCTATATTGTATGATTAAAGTCTTAAAAAAGATGAGTACACTGTATTTTTTGTGTTTTCTATCTATTAGACTTTTTAAATATAATTTTCTATAAATTTCTGATTGATTAATCATTTGTGGTTTTATTGAAAGTTTGCTAACTACTAACCAAAATTCAAAACTAACAGTTGGTTGCTTAAAAGAACTTGATTTTAAACATTAAAATACGCTCCTTATTTTGGTACTTTTTACCATATTTTAAAGATATATTAATAATTAAAATTGCATTTTATTACTCAATACATATTTTCATAAAATTTTAATTATTTTAACAAATTTATGAAAATTCTCATGGAACACACGTTCAACGCACGTATCCAGAAACTAGATATATAGATAATAGGCGTCCACATGTTCATGATTTACATTTTTCTTTTTTCAACTTACAAAAGATGTGACACATAAAAAGTGTTCTTTTAACCTGATTTTAAAAGGCAACTAAAGTTGTATAAAGTTTAACAAGTAGACATACACATCATACCAACACACCAATGCAGACCAATTGCTCTCTATTCACCAGTCGTTGTCTCTATAAGAAAAGAGAATATTTAAATGTTTAGTTTGATTTTGTTGTTCATAATTTTATTGAGCCTTTGTGGTAGTAGATGATTAAATGACTTCACCAAATAGTATAAATCACTGTAATGTAGGTCTTTTTCATAAACAGACCACATAGAACTAATTTATGCAGCACTCAAATGTTCATGGCAAGTTTGAAACAAATTCTTCAATATTCTTATCAGAACTTCCTCCTTCATCTACTGCTTCTTTAGCCAATTTTTTCCATTTAATTGCATTCTCTTTCAGCATTGCACCTTTCTCTTCCTTCATGACTTCCCTTATAGAACACGCGATTTCATCTCTATTAACTACACCATTGTCTCCAACCTTAACGCAAACTCCTGTTTGCCATACATCACTAATAAATTTCGCGTTAGTTGGTTGATCCGACCATTGGGGCATGGTCACCATTGGCACTCCCAAACTCAATGCTTCCAGTGTCGAATTCCATCCACAGTGAGTAAAGAAACATCCAACTGCTCAATGAGACAATACATCGAGCTGAGGGCACCAATTCACAATTAGTCCTTTTTCCGATAACTTGGACATGCATTCCTCAGAGAGTTTGTTCTTTTCGGTAGCTCTAACAACCCACAAGAAGTAGCAGTTGCTCGTCATCAATCCCGAAGCTAGTTCCTCTATTTGTTGTTCGTCAAGACTGGCAACACTTCCAAATGATACACATAAACAACAGAGCCAATTTCCCTTGAATCTAGCCACTTCATACAGGTTTCACTGTTAGGCTTGAACAAACTCAAACCATATTCTTTGTCTTCCTTTAGTCTCTTGTCAAGATACATTGATGGAATAGTTGGTCCGATAGTTTTAATTGAGTATCAAGGCCTTATCCAGTCGACTACCTGTACGAATTCAACATCAAATTATTGGTGCATGCCTAGAGGTGTTCATCGTTTGATTTGGTTTGATTTTCCTCTAAAAAAGAAATGAAACCACTTAAGTATATTTGATAAATATTAGAACCAAACAAAATTGTGTGGTATTTGTCCTTGACTTTAATGGGGCTTCAATATGAACTGATGAATTTCACACGTCAAAAAAGAAAATGGGTCTGGATTTACTCCTCTACTTTTGACTATTTTGATTATTTCTATGTTGTATGGAGGGGAGTATTGACCATTTGCAAACTCTCATGTTCAGAAGATGAGGGTTGCGAAAAGGAAGATGTTGAGGTAGATATGCAGGCATACTAGAAGTGATAAGATTAAGAATGAAGATATACGGGACAAGGTAAGTGACCTCTGTGGTGGACCAGACGAGGGAAGTCAGACTAAGATGGTTCAAACATGATAAGGTCTGCATAGATTTTACCCTTTCTCAAACCCCAACTATGAGAATTGAGCTCTACTAGTGTCAAAAGGCAAATAAGATAAGGTTTACTAACACAAGTATATGAATGGAGTGGACTCAAAATATAACATTAAGATAAGAGAATAGTACCTCCTTTTCCAGTGCATTAAATGTGTTGAAGAAAAGCCAATCTGCTTTCTTGAAATTGATGTTCTGGTTAAAGACAAGTCCTCTAAGAGCTGGATACAAATCAGTATTATAGATGAAAGAAGGCAAATCTTCCTTTGCCAGCAAAGGAAGTGAAGGCAAAGAGACATCAGAACCATCCAAAGAAACTTTGGTACTCTCTAAATCCATATGATAGTATATGGCACTAAGAGAACAAGATTGTGTGAAAAAAGCAGCCCCTTTTAGTCCTAACTTGTGTGCAAGGTCAATTACCAAAGTTGAAATCGAATCGAAAACAAGAACTTTCACAGGGTACACAGAATCAGATAATTTCTCAACAATTTTTGTCAAATTTTTCGATACCAAAACATGAAACCATTCAAGAAATTTGTCAATATTTTGTGGTGGAGACTCATCATCATGTGGAATGGACTCAATATTGATTGAACTAGACTCCTTTGGCATGTTCTTGCTAATAGAGTCTATGGTGACTAATGTCACTTTATTAACTCCTTTTGATGCCAATTTTTTGGAAAATTGAACCATTGGGTTTATGTGGCCTTGTGCTGGGAATGGAAGAACTAAAATATGAGATTTGTTGGACTTTTCTTCCATTTTCTGCACTATACTCTTACCTGACCTAATGTTTCTGCTATCTATATATCTATCTTGTTCTTTATAAAGGACTTATGTGGGCGCCCACATATTCAAGATGATACGTAGAAGTGTTCTTTAACTTGGTTTTAGCTTGCATTTAAAATTGTATAAAGTTTAACAAGTGGACACATTCGTCGTACCTCAGCAACGCACAAAATCAGACCAATTGCTGTTTATTTGTCAGTCGTTGTCTCTATAAGAAAAGAGAATATTTAAATGTTTAGTTTTTGTTGTTGGCAGATTGTTTTTTATGCCAATCTTTAACCATTGCGTTTATATGGCCTTGTAGTGGGATTGGGAGAACTAAAATATGACATTTGTTGGGTTTTTCTTCCATTTTCTGCTCTCTTTATAATCTATTTTGTTCTATATAAAGGCTCAGAATTCAGGATTTACATTTATCGTTTTTCTATAAAAAAAGTTTTACAAAAAAGGCATAATGCATAAACGTACCATTTTACTATATGATATATTGTGACAGTATCATTGAGAAATTATGATTTTCCACCTTGAAGGATCAATCATTCATCATGTGTTTGAACATGGTATTTTAACAATTTTCAAGATTACACATCTAAATGAAAGATTGTTAAGGTATATACTATTAATTATTGGGCAAAAAACTTAAGTATACAACTTAATAACTTTAATTACACGAATATAGCA